AAAAAATTGGTACAGCAGTACCAATACCTGGTCACTCTTGGTTAGCTTATCTCCTACTGCATTTCTTCCACTCATTTCTCAGCTAGGAGAGTGTGCAGGTTGACTTTTCCTGTGTCTCACTGAGAGCCAACCCATTTATTTCTAGCACAGGACATCTTGTTTAACACACACTTATGATGAAATTGATGGACCTGAGATTTGAGGGTGGAAAAATATTTCTCTTTAGAAATAATACTCTTAGGGTACAGCTTATAACTACAATGAAATGAATGGATGGGTCTATCATGTTTCTGGCCTCCCCTTAGCTACAATACAGGAGGCCCTGAGTTTTAGAAGGTGTGTGCTTGTGGTAGAAGCTGCCTCTTGGGAATCCATCTGCTGAGAGGCTGCTATCTTCTTCTTTAGCCCAGGCAGGCATCTTGGTACTGACAGTCACCGAAACTGGAACTGAAGTGTGGAAAATGAGGAAGAAGGAACAGCTGTGGTCTTTGTGGGAAGCTGGAATCAGAGTTCATTGATCTCTGCTTTTTTTTCTTTCCTCTTTCTCCATCAGAGCTGTCTAAAGCCCTAAAGAGGAAGAGCTGCTCCAAGAGGTCACCAGTAAGAATCCATGATAATGCTACCACTAAAGTCTTTAGCAGAGTAGCAGAAACCTGGGCCTGCATCCAAAGTAAGTTTCAACTTAAACCTCTTTCCAAGTTTTGTTCTTCAGAAAGATTAAGAAAGTACATTTATTAAATTAGTCATTTTCACTTGTAAAGTCTCTTGCTTTTTATTGAGGGATAATACCTATACAAAAAAGTACCTAGTATATAGCTTGATGAGTTTTCAGACATACTTGAGCATATCTGTATGATGAGCAGCCAGATCAGGAGACAGGACAGTACTGCATCCAGGTGCATCCATGAGGCCCTGCACAGTCATGACTCCTTCCTGGTAGTAGCTACTATTCTGAGTCCTTATAGCATGGATTACTTAGCAATGTTTTTAACAATAGAGGGGCAATTAAAGGCAATCTTTTCTTTCAGGACCTACCCCTTTCTTGCCATACATACTCCTAACATCTTCTAAAAACTCAGCCAGCAATGCCAGTGGTGTAGGAAGTGCCCAGGCAAGAAGCAATAGCCATTAGTCAAGAGCAGCATCACCATCTCCTCCTGATCTCACATAGATTTTCCCTCAGTAGTTGTCTTTCTGCTCTTGACCACTCCAGGGAAATGCCTGAAGTTGACTATCATAACTGAAGGCTAAAAATTTGATGTCAAAGCTTTGCGATGCTTCACTAGAATATGCCAGAATTATTGAGTCCTTATGAAATCCATAAACACAGGACAGGAGATGCTGCAAGGGAGTTGAGTTGGAGTGTGATGACCACCCAGAATAACAACGTAGCTTTAGAACAGTCTATGTCCTCACAGCTTGCCTCTGTGGGCATGGGCTTCTACTCACAGAGAAATATGCCTGAGCAGAAACATGAGTCTTTCAACAGTCTGTCTCCCCCTGGTCTGGGGTTAAAGGGAAAGTGAAGAAGGAGAAATGAAGAGCCAGGATCTGTCCCCAAAGTGAGTTTTATGGGGACTGACCTTGCTTTAGCTCTACCTTTTCTTTGGGTACTTCAAAAATTTCTTCAAAATTAATTTCTCTGTGTGTAAAATTAGGATGATAATATCTTCCTGGGAAGACTGTAGTAAAATTCAAACATAGCAATGCACACAAGTGCTAGGAAATTACATGGCATCTGGGAAATGCTCAGTAAATGTGCAGTCTAGTTATTGTTTTTAAGATTTCTTTTGCCAGAAAAAGGGCAAAGGCATTTTAGATTTTCAGAATGACTCAACACTTGACTAACTTTTGTTGAAACAACTGATCAGGGTTTAATGAGATAATCTGGATCCGCCCAAACCTTGTGGCTGCATTTGTAAAATCGGGTTGGCATTGGTACCTCAGAGACAGCACTGCCTGCATGGAGTGATAGGACAACAGAGGATTAACCTGCTATGGGTCCATATTTTGCTTATGGGGGAGCCCCCAGGGCAAGAGGAGCTTCTGCTAAAAAGTCACAAGGAAGAAAATCAGTTTAAAGTTCACAATGAGATAAGGGGACACTGGATTGTTTTCTCCTTAGGCTGCGTTAGTTAAAATGGAATCCTTTTCAATGTTTCTTAAGCACACAACAATGGAAGCTGAAACATCCTTTGGAAACAGCTGGATCTAATTTCTGTGGCTGTCATAGTGTCCTCTTCAGGTCACCCCCCTTGTTACCTCCCAGCTCCCCCCAGTTATCAGCCTTGTGGGTCACCTCGAACTCTTCAGCCTGCTGTGTTCAGCAGACTTATCAGTGCTGCTTTGTTCCTTGCTCTCACTCTTTCTCTCTGGAACATTTTCCAGGATCATAGCCTGGTGTTTGCCATTTACTGGTTGTAAAATTGGGAAGGAGTCTGGAACCCTTGAAGCTCCAGATTTCTCCTAATAAAAGCAAGGGCACTGGCAGTAACTCACCCAGATATCTATTGTGAAGAGTAAAGGAGGCAATGCATGTAAATGGCTCAATACAGAGTGTGGTGCTTAGTAAACACTCAGAATAGCAGTTGCTGCAATTGTTATCACAGTCATTGCCATCACTGTGGTATCAGCATTCCCGTCAGCATCATCAACTCCTGAGACATGGAGGCCTCATGCACAGTCTCTAAAGTCTCTCAGTACAGTCTTGTCTGCTAACTTGCTTTAAGTGCACACTTTTGAAATTACATCTTTAGGTCATACAGTTGTCTGATATGTTTCTGCACGGGATGTCTGCCCATCACCTGGTTATTCCTACGTTCTTTCTGCACCAGAACACTGAGATGAAAAGTGAAAAGCTCAGTCCATTTAGCCCACATAATACCAACTCCTTAAATTATTTTAAATATCTGGAGTGTTGATTGAACATTTTAGTTGGTTTTTGGATGTTTGGCAGACTGAAAATCAGAAGACACAGCCTTATCTGAACATATCCAGGAAGAAAGGAATCACATTCATTTGATCAATTTGTCACAGCTGTTCATGTGGAAGACACTTTGATGAATGAAAGAATTTTGAAAATTGTTTTTACCAAAAGTAGATGTACCCTACATCCCTGTATCACGATGGATAAGGTGAATATTAGGAATGAGGTAAGGATATATCTTGCAAACATTATAATGTGCAGTTCCATGATATTATTTTAAAAAATGGAAATATAAGTTACGTCCAGTGACTTCACTAATTTTGAGTACTATACAATTCAATGAATTTTCAAACATAAACAGTATTGCTACATCAAGGGATAGTACATTCCCATCACTATAATAAGGTCTTTTATCTTCCTTCACTGTCAGTCTTTCACTTCCATTCCTACTCCAGTTTCTATCAGCCACTGATCTACTATCTGTGCTCTAATTCCATTTTTCTAGAATTTCATGTAAGTGAAGTCATATGATATGTAGCCTTTCTCGGTACTTTTCACTTAGCATAATTCTTCTGAGATTCAACATGGTGTCACATGCAATCATAGTCCATTCCTTTTTACCATGGCATAGTAGTACTCCATGGCATCTCAGGGTGCTACCCATTTGCCTGCTGATAGACATTTGTGCTCTTTCTGCTTATTGACTGTTATAAGTAATGGTATTTTGAACCTCCAAGTACAGGTTTTTGCACAGATATGTTTTAATTTAAACTAGATAAATACCTAGGCATAGAAATGCTAGGTTGTAGGGTAAGTATATGTTTCAGTTTTGAGGAAACTCTTTAACGAAGTGGAGGAACTATTTTACATTCCCACCACCTTTGTAGTTTCACCAGCACTTTTAATGATTAGTTTTCTTACTTTAGCTGTCCTCGTGCATTTGTAGTGGTATTTCATCATGACTTTACCTTTCATTTCTCTAATGATGTATCAGGTGGTACTTACTAAAGAAACAGATTTAATGCAAGATATTCAAATATATAAGAATTTATAGTGTTAGTTTACAATGGCCACCCATAGAGTGGGGTGTGGAAGAGTGCAAAAGGGCTATCTGTGTGCTGGAGATCAAAAGATACAGTTGTAGAGTCCTGTGTGAGTCCTTATCAGGAGACTGAAGAGTCTATGCTGGAAACCAAGAGACAACGTTCAAGGTGAAGGTGAAGACCGGAGCTGCTCTGAAGGAACAGAAGCTACCTCTCTTCATTTGCCTTTTACACCATTCTGGTGATAATCCTACCTAGGGTGGGTCTTCCACACCCACAACTGTGCTGAACCAATCTAGTTGGGAGTTTCTTATTCAAGTTGACATAATTGGTTAACTATCATAATTGACTATGATTAGAACAATTTTCATGGGCTTATCAGTCATATGTACATCTTTGGTGAAGAGTCTCCTCAAGTCATTTGTGCACTTAATTTTATTAGTTTCTCTTATTTCTATTATGTTCTGAGAATTCTTTACACAGTCTTATTATTCTTTATCAGACACATCTTCTGCAGTCATTTTCTCTAGTCTGGCTTGCCTTTTTCTTTCTTTCTTTCTTTCTTTCTTTCTTTCTTTCTTTCTTTCTTTTATGCTAACTTTTGAAAAGCAGTTTTAAATTTTGATGAACTCTAAAATATTAACTTAAAAATGTGATTTCTGTGTTCTACTAAAGAAATCTGTTAATATTAAGGTCATAAAGACTCTTTTCTTATATTGTCTTATAGATTTTTATATTGTTTTAGCTCCTACATTTAGAACCAGGATTCATTTTGTGTTAATTATCTTATAGAGTAAGGTGTAGCCATACATTTGTGTATTTGCACATGGATATCCATTTTTTTACAGTACTATTTTCTGGAAAATGCTGTGAATTGTCTCATACTGAATTACAGTAAACTAGTAAATATATTAAATTATACTAATTCATTTTTAAAGAGCTGAAAGTTCTATTTTTCCTCCAAAATGCCAAAATAATGCCCTCAAAAAGATATGTCTTATTATTGGATAACATCTTTAAAAGTCAGAAAATTATTGAAAAGGTACTCAAAGATTTGTATACAGAAGTGATTTTTATAGCATTATATAGAATAGCAAAAGCTGGAAACAATCACAGGAAATGAAAAATTTCTTTTCCTTATCCACTTGTAGGCTCACAGTAGAGGTATTATAAAAAGATTAGTAGGAGAAAAGAATAAATTTTATTTAATATAAGTTTTGTGTGACACAGGTGCTTTGAGAAGTGAAGACTGAAAGAAACTGGTATCTTTATGTTGTTTGTGAAGAAGTGGATGGTTGTGGAGAAGTGTGATAGGCAGTGTGGCAGTGTGAGGCATTGTGATCTAATGGTTATAAACTGGTATAACTTAGTGAAACCTGTCCTGATTCTTTGTCCCTGTCCTCAGGGATAAGGACATTTATTTTCCCTAGAGGTAGGGCAGGCACCTTTGGAATGAGGGTCATATGACCTGGTTTTGGGCAAAGTTATAAAATTCTTTCTGCTTGTGACTGCTTTGAGGCAGAGGGCAGGGAAAGTCTGAGAGATCTTCCTGTTTCTATATTCTTCCAAATGCCAAGGTGCCATATTTAGAGTGTACTGTATCCTGAATTCCATCATAATCTAAGTATCTACCTGTAGATATTAAATAGAATATGGTATATTCATTCAGTATGATATTGCAACCAATAAAAAAATCGATGA